AGGATAAAATGCATATTCTTTGTGACAATGATGTTAACTGTAAATGCGTCACGTTGATCATCCTATTTTCATTGATCGATGATCATGAGTATGTTATTGGTGGCTGTGAAAAGTTTATAACTTTCGAAATACTGAAATAACTATCTGTGCCGGTACAGCCTGTATTTTAGCCATTATCTTGGTTATGTTAACACATGTCGCGCTGGTAATGCCTGTTAATTTTTTTTCAAATCAAAAGGATTTATGTCATTTATTGACAGGTTAATGCATATAGTGATCACACAAATTTTTTTTTTTTTAATCCGAAAAAAGATGTAACTTGGACTGGCTTTGAATTATTTAGTAAATTATTCTGTAAATTATTTTTTGATAACAAAAACTTCGTTTCACTTGGTATCGGGAACCAAAAATGGGGATCGCTGATTTATTTATTATCGTTATTAACACTATATATCATTACTATCATTACTATCATTATATGATAATAATGTCATAAGTGGGAAGGTTAAGTGTAATAAGTATAATAAGTATAATACTCCGATCTCTATATCAAGATCACCCTGACCGTATGTAAACGAAGTTTCCAACAGATTAATCTAAGTGGATTCCCACTTACAACACTAATATTCTCATTTTATTAATTTTATTGATTTTATTAATTTTATTAGTGCTTCATGATTTATTTCATGATTTAAATTTAGCAAACCTTTAAGGTAAGTTACGCGTTATCTATCATTCATTATCATTTTTAGCTACTGATTTAACAACAGTTTCTAAATTCATATACGTTATAATTATCAATACTTAGGATATTGATTTTACTTATTAGAATTAAATGATAAATTAAAAATGATAATCGATCGAAATAAAAACCTCTTTCAGGTAGTGTTTCTGATTATCTGAGTTATAACGTCATATTTACAACATCGAATACATCGAACATTACAATATTTACTATATAATATATTGAATATTAAATATATATTGTTGAATATTGTTTGAATACTGTTGAATATTGAATATCCACTAACTAATATCGAATATTATCAATATTATCAATATCGGCATTATTAATCCATTTATATGTAATTATTACTAATCCATTTATAATTTTTAAATTGAAATATCACAGGTGAATGAAAGTTAAATTTTGATCAAGAATTAATAATTTCTACACAAAGACCACCAAACATGTCTTCTAAAGAAGATACGAAAGATCAACTACCAATAAACAGAAATTCCGTTCATCCTCTAAATGTTAAGGGCACTTATCCTACAGGTTCGTGTCTAGATGGTTGGCGTTTTTTAAGGATTGGACCCGGGTAAAAAAAAGTCCACCCTCAATCTTTACCTTGGTCTTGGGCAACCGATTTTAGGGTTTTCTTTCATCAGGTCCAATCCTTAGATGTTTGAGATGTTTGAGATGTTTGATAGATTTTACATGTATAATGATATTATTTATATATATATATAATGATATTATTGATATATATATATAATGATATTATTGATATATATTAATGTGATTATATACGTATCTATACATGTACTTATACGTATATGTGTATATATTAATATTATAGCCGAAGCAAAAATGTACGGTGAAGGTACGAAGCAAACTTCTCAAAAAGGTGGCTTTGGTCAAAAAGTCCAAGAACAAGAAATCGGTCATGGATTCATTCCAAGAAAGAGGGGTAGTAAAATGAGAGAAAAAAAGGAATTCGAAGAGTTGTCTCAGGAAGCTGAGAAATATTGATTAGGTTAGGAAATGTATTAAATAGTAAAAAAAAGTTTGCCTTTAATTTAAGATGGACACGAAAGTCGATTAATATGACAATGGTTTTTTGAAAACGTTTATTAACAAAAGTGTTCTAACACAATAATATTTGAGATAATAAAATACTTTGCGTCTTCATTATCTTCATTCTTTATTATAATAATTCCTTTAAAAATCAGTTCTGATTCACGTGATATCATAATTCTGGCTATCAGTCCGTGGGACTAGCGTTAAACTGACCAGAATTATGTAGATCGATTAAAAAATCGATTGTTATCCTTGATGTAATTTGATATGCACCCCCTCGGGAACATAGTAAACAAAGAATTGAAATATGTATTTAGATATATGTATTTAGATATATGTATTTAGATATGTATTTAGATATGTATTTAGATATGTATTTAGATATGTATTTAGATATGTATTTAGATATGTATTTAGATATG